ATTCTGGAAATTATTTTGAAAAAGTGGCATTCTGGGAATTATTTTTAAAAAATTGACATTTTGGGAATTTTCGAATATGGACTATTGAACCCCTTTGACCATAATTTTGACCGGCTTTAAACGGCCATTAAACGACCTTGATTTTGTTCGAGTATAACTATTCTGACATTTTTCGATGTGCCGAATCCGTTTCCGAAATCCGTTTCTCCAAATTGGAACCCGAAGGCCACCAAATCATCAGTCAAACCCGTTGACTTTGATTTTGACCAAGAATTTGAATTTTCAAAAAGTCATACTTTATGTTTTTCGACGTCCTGATTCCGATTCTGCAATCCGTTTGGTCAAATTCAGACTCGAAATCCTCTAAATTGATAGTCAAACCCGAAAAATGCTTATATACTTAAGAATTTTAGCTTTGATCAATTAAGTAACACTTGAGGTTGATAAATTATTATTGTTTGAAGGTACAAGAGACTCTCCGGATCATTCGACAACTCGACCCATCTCTTCTAGATCAGTTAAACCACGTGTGTCAGTATTCACCCGTAAGACCCGTAAATTTTATGATTTTAGAGATTAATTATGTTACCCATTAATAATATAGTGTTATTATAAATTAGGTTCGAAAACTGTAGCAGAGCGTGGTGAGACCAGCAATCAGTAGATCTACTACTTAAACCTATTATCGAGGTGTGTTCCCTATTTATTACTGAACTATTTTATTTGTTTTAATATGTGGTACACTGAATTCTTTGGTTACTGTTTTACTGATGCACCGATTTAATGTGATGGTTTATGGATTATGACCACTATCTGATTTTGTTTTGAAATGGTATATGATTACCATGTTTATGGATTTATGGAATTTATGTCACGATGCAATTGAATTTTTGGAATACGAATTTATAAAGTACAGCTCTGATCAAGCTGGAAAATTTTACGGACCTAATGTGACTCTTAGGTAGGCTCTGCGGCCCTGAGATCATTCTCGGGTAGGCCCTACGGCCCAAAGATGTGTTCTTAGGTAGACCCCACAACCCCGAAATCTATCTTGGGTATGCTCTTATGCTCTAAGATATTCCCTTAGGGTAACTCTTTTATGAGATTTATTGCAGTATAATTTTTATGAGATTTATTGGACGATGATTTGTTTAGTGTACCTATCATGATTTTATAGTAATGTTGGGACACACTGAGCCTAGCTCACTTTTCAAAAATGTTTTCCCTTTCCGATACTATTAGTTAGATTCACCTGATTGAGCACTTGGAGGATCAACATATCTCTTGAAGTATATCGTATTGTAATGTTTTATCTTTTAAGTTGACACTATTTTGGTAACATGTGCCTTATTTTAAAGTATTGGATTTTATAATGATTACTCATTTGCTATTTATATTTGGTTTATCGTAAATTTGGATTTTTTAAGAAATGTTTAAATTATTATTTTTTCATTATATATTTATGAGTTGTATTTTTATAATATAAATTATTATAATTTCATAAACGTCATTTATAATGTGATTTTACCATGATTGAATAATGGTTTCGGAACAATATCTTTAAGAATCATGAATGTGATTCACTAGACTTAGTCGAAACGCATAGACCGGGTCTAGGGGGTTACATTTGTATCCTTTGTGATCTTTACATCTATAATGGATATATTTGTATCTTTTGTAATCTCTACATATATAGTGGATTATTGTTCTTCTTGTTCGTAAAGGTAAGTAAGGTCAAACCACGTTAAATCTAGTCTCTCGTACATGCCTTATTTTATGTACATCTTGTTTTAAGTATTATTCCATTCCTAAATTCCTAATTGTGCCACATTGAATTCAATCAAACTCTAACAACAATAAAAATGGTTGAAGGATAAAATGAGATAATTTTTTTTGTATATTATGTAGAAAAGAAATTAAAAATTTTGGTTTTAAAGTTTTTGGGTATAGAATACCAAGAAGAAAATAATTTTTGAAATTTGATGTTTCTGTATGAATAATTTAAAAAATAAATAATTTTGTACTCAAGAATTTAATCATTCTAAGGATAGAATGGTATATAAATATTTATATATTATGTAAAAAAACAAATAATTAATTAAAAATTTAAACATCAAATAAGATTGATAAAGTAAAGATTAAGAAGTACGAACTAGTTTATCTCAGTGGTTAAAGAGATGTTTATTATCTTCAAAGGTCTTAAGTTTAAATATATCATATATTAAAAGTGTTTTACCGTTCATTATCAAATGAGTTATAAGTGTTTAGAATATACCTTATAATTAAATCACGGCTAATTTTCATAGCGGAAAGTAAAAAGAATGACAAAAATTAAAAGAAATCACCACGCAATCAAAGTTGAAAATCTCGGTAAGTTCAAGATACCAATTGTCTAAAAGTTTCCTTTATCCTTGAACATTTTTAAGCATAATAATTATTTTAAGGGTAAAGTATAGTAATGGTCATTGAATTTTTCTAAAGCTTAGATTTAGGTCTCCTAACTTTTAAAACTTGTAATACAGTCCTCAAACATTTAGTCCGTTTATAATATGGTCCCCGATATAACCGGCCGTTTGACGTTGTTTACAATATGGTCACTAAACTTTTCTGGTGCTTGAATTTAGGTCTTTCAACTTTTAAAACTTGCAACACAGTCCTCAATTTCATTCTAAACCCTAAATTCTAAAATACTTCAATTTAAAGTTTAGAATGTAATTAAAGTATTTTGGAATTTCGGGTTTAGAATGTAATAAGTGTTTTGGACTTTTGAACATGAATTTGCTATTTGATAGTGTTTACTTCAATATAAATTTGAGGTATATTGCTTGCACATCCAACGACTGCCTCACTTTAAACATGAAAAGTGCACCTATCACGGTTATTGCATAAATCGTTGAAGTAAAAGTAACAAGGTCAATTTATCTTGTTCGTAGTTGCCACACTTTGGTATGACAATCCAATAGGTTTGGATGAAACTTGAGCATGCGCATCCAACAGCTGCGAAAATAGTATAGAGTTTTAGTTCATAATACCACAACATACAACCAAGCAATAACTAAAATAAACCAAGAATATCAATTAATAACTTATTCAAAAGGAGGACTTAATAAATAAAGGGAAAGAGGTTCAATCATAGTCACTCCAAAAGCTAAGACGTCAAATGGGTTGTTTAAGATAGACAATAGATGCCAAATACAATATTACTAGTTGCAAATGCATTAAGCCTACCCTTTTAACATATAATTGCTTATAATGCTCCACGTTTAATGTTCCTCAATAGCCAAACATGATGAGAATCTAAAGCAGATAGCAGAACTAAAGTCATAAGACCCCATAATTCTTGTAAATTCATGGCATGTCAGCAATAAAAGACATTGTAAAACATAGAGGACACTGCAACAAATATATATATGCAAGAAATGAAGGTGCAGATGTTCAATGACCGGGCAACATATCAAGTAGTTGCTCCAAATATACTACCCTGTCATGATGCCTTTCGAGTTGTGTGTATGTAGAATTGTCTTCTAACGCTATAATTCAATACAGATTCAACTGTAAAATTTCCAAAACATGTAAAAAAAATCCAATTCGTTCACGATATATCAGTCCCATAATCAACTTTTAAAACTTATTAAAAAGAATACGAGCTCATAGGACGCTGAAAACCACATGTCAGATCAATACAATTCCCAATAAACTAGTACCAATAGTCTTTCGGATTGAGCATGGGGATTTCACTATGTCGATACTCACAACCAATTCCCTCATTTAAAGAAAAACCAAATAAAAAGATCAAAAAAATTTAGCCTAGGACCATCTTTTACTTCTATTCTGATGGACTGAATATCTTTCATAAGGAGTACTAAAAGTTTTGAATAAAAAGAAAGAAATAAAATTAGATGGTTTTGGTTCAAAACTAACACTGAATATCCAGATCCTTGACATGCAATTCCAGAAACATAAAAATTTCAACAAAAAACACACAATACGAGCTGAAAATGGGAAAGTGCGAAAGAGAAAAAACTTACTTCCAGATAGTTCAAAAGAGAAAATAAATACTATCTTGCAAGTGAGGGGAGAGGCTAAGAAGTAAGCGTAATCGGTGTTGCGTTCCAGCAATTCTTCCTCCATTTTTTCTTTGTAAATAAAAAGCTGAAAGACAGAGCACTGCTTGGGTTGACAATTTTACATGATAGAAAACTGAAGAACAAAAACCAAACGAGAGTGCATGTGTGCGAAAGAGACTGAGAGGTGAAGGCGTTGTTTGAAATTTCATTATATTTGATTATCTGTTGGAAAATCTTTAACTACAATGATTAAACGAAGAAATTATTATATGTCATTTATACAAAATAATTCCAGCTTTGTTGGTGACTTTCAACAATGATACTTAGTTCATCTTAGTAGTATTTGTCAACTTTGCATTTCTAACCCCATTTTTTTCTCCCAAGCATTTCATCGAACATCCATGCTTCACATGAGATGACATGTATATAACATTACACCTTGAATCGTTGATGGTCCCGATAGTCCCTTGGCCAGGTCTTCTCTCAATGGACCCTTATTCAAGTCAATACCTCCACAAAATTCAAAGTTAGATTAGAATTTCCCATGCATCCCCGACTGAAAAGTTACGCTGGAAATGAGAAGAGAAGCAAAAAAAGAAATTTGAGATTGAAAAGGAATTTGGGGTTTATAATGAAATTGAAGATTATGTTGCAAGTTTTAAAAGTTGGGAGACCTAAATGCAAGAACTTTTCAAGTTCAGTGACCATATTGCAAACGGAGTCAAACTGCCGGTTACATCGAGGACTATATTGCAAATAGACTAAATATTAGAGGTCTGTATTGCAAGTTTTAAAAGTTTAGAGACCTAATTGTAAACTTTAGAAATATTTAGTGACCATTACTATACTTTACCCTTATTTTAATTTTATAAATAGAATTAAAATTTGTAAACTATCTCATCATACCTGCTCATTATCGTGTCCATTCCTCTCCGTCGTTTTTTCTCATTATTCTTCTTGGGGTTGTGTACTTTGCACGTTAACTCATTCTTTGTATTTTGTTGCTAAGGCTCATTTTCAACATGGTATTAGATGTTGACGGTCCGTGTGCATGTGGATTATTCATCTTCCTCTTCTGATTTCTTTTTCCCTTATATTTCTCATGCCTGACTCGGTTGTTGATACAGAAACGCCGTCGGAGTAACCGGTGGTGCCTTGCCTCAAAATCGTCGGAAGGCAACTTTTGCCAACAAATATGTTAATTTTCCGCTTAATGACCATAATTTTCTCCTCTGGAAGCAACAAGTTGTGTTGATGATTCGTGGCCATGACTTTGAGCATCTTCTTGATAGTTGTGCTCTGGTGCCACCGCATACAGTTGCTGACGAAAATCGCTTATCGGGTTCACAAGAAGCAAGATAGTTCTTTAGACTCTTGGCTCCTATTGGCTATCAGCCCTTCAATTTTGTCTTAGTTAGTGGGTGAGAAGACTGCTTCCAATATTTGGAATATTGTTCTCAAGTTGTATTCTAGGTTAAAGAAGACTAGGATTATGAGTTTTCTTTTTTGCCTTAAATCCCTAAAAAAACAGATCAAGGAGATCTGTGATCTTCTCTCAACAAGTGGAAGTCCTGTTTTTGAAATCAAATAGATTGCCATTCTTCTCAATGGTGTTCCTCAGGAGTTTGAACCGTTCGTTGTTGCCATCACGATGAGTCGTTAGCCATACACGTTTGAAACAGTGACGTCTGATCTTGTGGATGCAGAATCACGGATGGGTGATCACATGAGGATTCCTGTTTCTATCAATATGGTGAGAAATAATCGTGGCAAAGATTTTAATAGCACTCGAGGCCAGAATGATGGTGTTCTTGGTTATGTTGAGGATTGATCTGTTGATAATCGGAACCAAGGTCAAGCCAATAATCGTTACAAAGGAAGGCTTCAACATCAATATCAATTTTGTGGAAAGTTAAGCCACCTTGTTGACAGATGTTGGCACAGATTCGATCAAGATTTTAAGGGCATTTCCTCTCAACGCTCACAATCCAATAATGATGTGCATGCTAATGTTTGTAAATACACGTTCGAGTCTCCTGAATCTTTCTATAATATGTTTGTTAGTCCTGCTGCAGGTATTAAAGTTTCTGATGACACTGCGACAGCTGATACGAGTCATGTAAACTCGGTCATTGCTAAGGGTGTTTAGCAACGAATGATAAGTGGTTTCCTGACTCTGGTGCGACTCACCATGTGACTTACGAGAAGCCATCTACTTCAATTTCTTAACAGTAATCATGTAAGGGTAAAATGTAATTGGGTGATGGGTATACTTTGCAGATTTCTCATGTTGGTTGTGCTACTTTACCTACCGAGTCTCGTTTGTTAAAACTTGACAATGTCCTTTTTGTGCCTCAGATCACTAGGAACTTGTTGTCTGTATTTAGGTTTACTAAGGATAATAATGTTTATCTCGAGTTTCACTCTGATAAATGCTTTGTGAAGGATGAAACTATTGGTTTGGTTCAGTTTGAGGGTAAACTTGAAGATGGTTTGTTGATGTGATCTTACTCATGCACCTACTCATTTACTTCATACTTTCGTTTTCTGTAACAAGGATGAAAGATCAAGGAGCATTTTCTTTCTTTTCACATCTTTTCATTTATCTATCATATAGTTATTTTATGTATAGTTTATGCCATGTTGAATTTGCCATGATTATACTTCACTATGTCATGCATTGCATACATTATCATAACATTTACTTAACTTATTATATGCACCTTATGCTACGCTTAGTTATATCATGTCATAGTCCCTATTGTATGTTCATCATATTCTTTCCATAGCATATTATATGTCGCCACGTCTTTACTTAGCTTATTATATGTTACGTTATGTTACTTAGTTCATTTACATTCATAACATAGATGCCAAATTTGATTCATGGCATTCCTAATGTTATCATTACTTATTCCTTTGTTTTTGTCACACATAGGTTATTTGAATGATAAGGAAGGCTATGACAGCTCATGGAATAAGGTCTCATCATATGGCAGCCCAATATAGCTCATTTTTAGCTAAAGAAGCTCAAAGCATAAGGACATTAGCTTAGGAGTAGCTAAAGGAGCTGAACGGGAGCTGAAATGGAGAGTAGCTGAGGACGGAAGGCAGTTGGAGGTCAGCTAAGGTGGTAGCTGAGTAGTTGGAGTGTCACTAGTTAGCTAGGTTTAGTCTACCTAAGGCACCTTACCTAGCCACCAAGTACTTACCATGTGCCAAGCACACCCCTATGGCCGAAATATCACAACCTTGGCGTGGAAAGGCATGATCATTCAAGGAGTTGCAACCATCCAAGGAGAACCATGTGCAACCTACAAGCATGTGCACTCAATGTGACTCAAAGTATGCGCCAACCTTCAAGAGACATCACCATTCGACCAAGGCCTCACAACCATTCATTTTGGTGCCTAGGATAAAGCATCACAAGCCTATTCGGCCAAGCCTTGTAACCATTCTTTCAAACATCAACAAGGCTGAACCATGCAATCTATTCGACCATAAAGGAGTTCTAAGGCTTATTAAAGGCTGGCCGAACCATCACCTTACTTATTCATTACCAAAGGATGTAATTAAACATCAAAGAATCATGTACCTTCATGGGAAGTGCCTTTGCCGAACCAACTTGTATCCATTCAGCCTTCCCCTTCATTTTCTATATAAAGCCAATGCCTTGGCTCTTGTAAGGCATCCAATCAACTTTTGCTTAATATATTGTGCGGTCTTGCTGTCTGACGGGGATGGTGCTAGTCCTGAGAGTTATCACGCGAGTCCTCGTGCAGCTACTGCTGCTAATGAACCAGTTGAAGCGGGTGTTTGTAGGTCTTGGTAAGATGGTGAACCGACTGTTCAGGATGTGGTGGTTTAGTCTAGAACTCAAAATGTTCACTCTATGGCAACTCGTAGCAAATCAGGGATTGTTTAGCCTTAGGTCTATAATACTATGCATCTTGAGATACGTTCTTGTGTGCAGGATGTGCTTCAACACCATCATTGGAAGGATGCTGTTGAGGCTGAATATAAGGCTTTGATTGGTAATGGTACTTGGGAATTAGTTCCTTTGCCAGTTGATCGTAAAGCAATCGAGTGTAAGTGGTGGTTTCAAATTAAGTATAATTGTGATGTCTCCATCAATAAATATAAAGCCAGATTCGTGGCTAAATGGTATTCGCAGGTTCCTGGATGTGATTTTTCTGATGCATTCAGTCTTCTTGTTCATTTTTTACTGTTAATACTTTACTTTTAGTTGTTGTTACACGTGGATGGTATGTACGTCAAGTTGATGTTAACAATGCCTTTCTTAAAGGCGAGCTACAGAAAGATGTTTACATGAAACAACATGATGGTTTTGTGCAGAATGATTCTCATGGTGGTCCTCTTGTTTGCAAATTAAGAAAAACACTGTATGGGCTACGACAAGCACCTTAGAATTGGTTCAACAAGCTCAAATATTTTCTTCATTCCCTGGGCTTTATTTCTTCTCGTGTAAATAATTCTTTGTTCAATTATAGGTCTGATGAAATTGTTACGTACGTTTCAATTTATGTAGATGACATACTTGTGACTGGATCAGCTGAAACACACAAGCATTATCTCAATGATAAGTTTTTTCTTAAAGACCTTGGCTTAGTGCATTATTTTCTTAGTATTGAGGTTGTTCGTACTTCGACTGGTCTTTTTCTTCATCAACGCAAGTATGTGGAAGAGTTATTATTCAAGTTTAACAAACGGCCAGACCAGTGGACACTCCTATACTTGTCACTCCCAAGTTGAGCAAGCAGAATGGGGGGCATTATTTGATGCTCAGAAGTATCACAGTGATGTTGCTGCCTTGTTATATGTGTCATACAAGGCTAAATATCTCTTTTGTTATTCATAAGCACAGTTTATGCAGCAACCTTGTGAAGCTGATTAGTCCGGTGTAAAATGTATACTTCGATACTTGAAAGGAGCATTAGATTATGGTTTTTGGATGGTTCAGCAGTAGGAACCACTGGATCTTAAGATTCACTAATGCTGATTGGGGCAGCGATCCTGATGATCATCGATCTGTTTTTGGTCATTGTCTTTTTGGGGAAACACATGTTATCATGGAATTCAAGGAAGCAACGTGCAGTCTCACGATCAACAGTAGAAGCAAATATCGTAGCCTTGCTGATGCCACTTTGGGTGAAGGCAGTCCTATCTGAGATGGGTGTCTCGCCAGTAGAAAGTCATGTTATCTGGTGTGATAATACCAGCGTCGTTGTCATGACTGCCGACCCTGTGCTACATGCGAAAGTTAAGCATGTAGACTTACATGTGCATTTCGTTCGAGCGAAAGTTTTTAAGTAATTTGCTGGAAGTGAATTATGTACCTTCTCAACATCTGGTGGCTGATGTTTTCACCACGTCTTTTGCCAATGCTAGATTTTAACTACTGTGTCAAAATCTGAGTGGTTTCCTTTGCTCATGTTCAGTCTCATAAGTAGTTCTGTTTCTGTTTAAAGTTTTAGAAAGTTTGGAAGTAAGGTGAATATTGGAAAGTTGAGTCCCATGCCAGCTGTCAAGAGTTTGTTTTTGGTTGTTTGGTGCTAACCAAATTCTATTTCAAGTAGTTGGGTCGGTCAGCCTTTTTGGTAAACCAAACTTATGATGTTGGTTTTACAAGGTTGGGTAGGCTATATCAAAAGCTTGTTTACAAGCGGACTATAAATTATCTTTAGCCTACATTCTTTTCCCCTCATCTTACCTACTCATTCTAGTGTCCTTTCCTCGCTGCCGTTTCTTCTTATTTTTCTTTTCGGGATTGTGTACTTTGCTCATTAATTCATTTTGTGTAGTTTGTTGCTCAGGTTCATTTTCAACATTAATGCAGTGTAGTACTAATTATATAATTGGAATGGCATTGTTTAATGTTATATAGTACTAATTAATATAAATATTTGTTCTTTTTCAATATAGGTAGAAAAGAAACACATTTTCAATAAAAGTTTAAGATCATGTCAATTGAATCCCAAGTATAAAAAAACTAATTTATAAAATTAATGTTAAAAATGTCATTGAATAAGAATCATGGAGACTAAAATCAAAACAATATATTTATAATACAACCGACATAAATTATTCATATTATCTACATTTATAAAAGAATGAGTGGCATTAAATTTGAATTTGATGTACTTATAAAATAATATATTATAATTTTTTTTTAAAAAAATTGATTGATAGACCACAAATACAAAACTAAACACAAAACATGATCCTCCTTAAAATACATTCCTAAATCTAAATGAAGAAAAAGAGTGCGCCATGGTTGTAACTTTGTAAAGATGATTTTATAATAATAAATATGTGATAAGAAATACAATGTATGTTTATTTTATTAAAAAAATAAATTTTAAAAAGTATTTTTAGTAAAATTATCAAACAATGGAAAATGAATTATACAACATCATCCAAATACTAGAAAATACTTTTCAGAATTCATTTTCCAAATAGTAATTCATTTTCAAGAAAATAAATTACAATTAAACAAAGAGACCCTAGATGTATCTTAGGAAACACTTGTTTTTTTTTTTTAAAAAAAATAGGAAACAATGAGAATATTTGATAATATTTTATGGGTAAATTTTTTTGGTATCCTATTTATTTTTATGTTTATGTTTTAGTCATTTAACTTTTTTTTGGGTAAAAGTACATATACTTAAAAATACATTTTTTTACTATTTGGAGTAGTTTAGATGATAAAGGATAATGTTGTTCTCCTTAAGTAACCTAGTTTCAAGCAGTGTTGTTTACATGTGTGTGCGAGTAGATACATTTTTTTTATATTTTGATCATTTGTTGTTAAATACGATTGTTGACTCAATAAAAATGGTAATGTAACAATGTATAATAATAATTTTAATCTCAAAACTTATACATTGTGTCAATTTGGTTCTAATTCGAAATAATTTAAAAATCTTTAATATTTAAAAAATCTAAAAATTTATTTTTTATTTTAAATAAATTAACAACTCAATAAATTTAATCCTCTAATAAAATAATTTGAAATAAAATATAATTCTCACATATAAATTATACATTTTAAAACAAATTATGGATTAGGTGTGCCAGGGTGGTAACATTCAAAACAAGCTAAGATATGTGCATCAAACACGTTACAATCTAAGTTGAATTTATGGAAAATTACAACAGATATGGAATTAAACAATAAGATTTTTTTTTCTAACAGAAGGATAAAATTTAATATTTCTATCGATTGAATATTAAATTTATGCCAATGCAATTAGAACCGTCAGTTTAGAACAAACCATGAAAAAAAGAGAGAGTAAAGGTTGTTGTTATATGTTGTACTTTTTTTACCACTGAGATCGTTTAGTTTGTGCATCTTACTTTATTTTTCAATTATTGTTAATTCGTGTTTGTCTTGGCAAGTGAACATAGATATTAACCGCTCCTCCACTAAGGGAGTAATAAAAAGGCATAATACCAAAATTAGCTCACAACGTTTATTAGAATAATTATTTTGTCCCTCATTATTTTTTATGAGGTATTTAAGCCCTCAACGTTTCATTTTAGGTAAAAAAACTCCTGTTTTGGAGTGTTAATTACGTGTTATCTAATAATTTTCATCCACAAAGTGAAATGTTGGAGAGTAAAATACTCAAAAAAAAAGAAAGAATACGAGCCAAAATGACAATTTTAATAAACGTTGGAGGATATTTTTGGCATTATGACTAATAAAAATATAATAAAAGTATCCATCAAAATTAACTTTTGTGTGAATGATTATGACCAATATGAAAAATTTTAGATATCCCAATGTTGGCATCGGAAGATGACCAAAGAAATGCGACCTAATAGTTCTTTCCAAATATTATCTACACATTTTCAAGTATATATATATATATTGTCATTTTCATAATCTCAATTAAGCATATAAAAAAAACTATTATCAAATTTAAAATTTATAAATAAAATTAAAACAATGACCAGTGCCTTTTAAAATGTATTTAAAATTAAGTCACCATTTTAAAATTTTTTTTATAACCATTGGTATGTGGTTTATTGATTAACTAATTTTGATCGGATACTATAGAGATGAGGGTAACTCTCCCAATTTAATTTGCTCCATTCACAAATGTCAATATTTGAACCCTGATTTAACTTAAGAAATATAGTATCTCATCCCACTAAATTGGGTACTGCCGAAACGAAGGACCAGGGTATCAAATAGTATTCCAAAAACGTGATAGCGGTCGTGATATTGCGGTCCTACCACCGTCCGAAATCGATTTTCGCGCCCGCAATTTAACGGGAATCAGACGATTGCGCCGATAACGGGACGCAACAACCGTTATTCAACCGTGGTGCAATTTTTTTTGTTTCAGACAATGATGAGGGAAGGAGAAAGGGGGAGGCAGAAGGCCATAACCATTTTTGTTTCAGACAATGATGGGGGAAGGAGGAAGGGGAGGGGGAAGGGGAAGAACTTACCCTTGACTACTTGCTCTCTGTTCAATCTGGAGAATCCAAAGAAATGAAAATTAGGCTTGGAAAGAAGAAAAACAAAGAAGATCCAAAAAATTGAAGAAAAGAAAAGAAAAGAAGAAGCGAATTTTGTTTGCATCAATGTTCGGTCGAAGCTGACAACAGCCCTTGGCAGAACCAGAAAAATTGGGGAAGGGGAGGGAGAAAGGTCGGGGAAGGGGAGGGAGAAAGGTTGGGGAAGGGGAGATTTATTTTCTTTTTTTAATAATTTTTAAAATATAATTTTAAAGGATATATTAATTTGAGATCCCTCTCACTTTTAGAATTTATAATTTAATCCCTAGTTTAAAATGTAAACTTTAATTTTTATTTAATTTAGTCTTAATTTCAGTAATATAAATTTATGCAATTTAAATTTTACAATTTTATTTTAATTATATTTAATTTAGTCATTTTAGGGTAAGTTGTGTGATATTTAAAAAAATTCACGATCGCGATACCCACAATGACATCCGTTATGTCCGCAACCGTGATAAACGTGACGCGATCGAAAACGTGACCGCGAACTCTATTTAAAACCCTGCGAAGGACTAATAATCCCTCCCACGGTAAGTT